TTATTGTGAGTATAGACACAAATGCCACCCCCTCCCATGTGGAGCCGATCAAGTCTTGAGAGCTTGTATCCTTCCAAGTTCACCTCCAGCAATGAAATGCTCGTGTTCAGCCAGGACTCAGAGATGGTAATAACATCGAATTTACCTCTTTTATTCAGTTCTTTAACTTCTTTGCCTTGCTATTTTTAGTAGGGTCATCTTCCTCGAACACGACACTCTTCAATGCCAGGTTGAGGGGTGGATGTAGACAAAATGTTTTCTTCTGATAGACCACCATTTTAGTGGCATGCGTGGTATTCTTGCTGTGGGGAGTCTCTTCATTCAAATCATTATTACCCACGGCAAACTGAACAAATATACTAGGCTTGATGTTAGTTGATATTACAGACCCAAATGCTTCTACCTTAGCAAGAACTTCCTCTGCAATACTCATATTCACTCCCTGCATCTTGTCACAGAAAATACAATGTCCCACTCTTTTAAAGGGAATCTCAGCTGGAAACAGTTTTTGCCAACATAGAAAGTTATCTTCTGACAAAAACAGGCTTAGTGGTTTAAACTTTTAATTTCACCCCTTTTGCAAACGCTGAGGCGTCAATATTCGCCTTTTTGTGCTTTCAAATTTCCTGGTTGCCACCATGTCTAACTGTCACAAAGTTAGCTGGAAGATTATGACATCACTGAGTTGTTGGTGTTCAACATGGCATCCAAAGGTGTTGTCATTGCTGAATGACAAACTAGTCTGGTCCATTTTAGACAACTTTATTCGCAAGTTTTACATTTACAACAACACCACCATTACTGCTTACATTATTACAAACTCAAATTATCTCACACATGTGCATGCAGCCCTTGGCAACAAGGTGGCTTGTAATTCGTAACACAGCAAAGCAGTTAGAGATGAAAGTGCAGGAAGCGGAAGGGACAGGTGTTCACAAATGGTATGTGTGCTTGAGTGGTAGAAGTTTATGGGCTACATAGAATTGGATTATTTTTGTTAGACACAGTGTTTAATTTTGCTTTGTATCATAAGAGAGACCCACAAAAGGAAGATTAACATGCTGGGGTTCTTTTGGTAAATTGGACAATGGTCATCCAATAGCTGCCAACCACTTTTTGCACATTTCACCTTCAAGTGGTACTCAATGAAATGACATCAAAGGATTACGCTTGTTCTTTATGGCACGTTTTTAGTGTCAAACTCCAAAATCCTGTATCATACTTGCTATTTTTCTATTCAAATATTCAATCCTGTGATTAAAACCTGGAGCTCTTCCATCCAAATATGATATCCTTCTATTTTAATTTCCAGTTCTTCAATCAAACTTCTTGTTTGACAATTCAGATGTGCTATTTGGTTATTGAAACATCCATTGTTTCAATTCAAAGCAACATTTCTTTGATTCAATTATGCTCTTTTTCTATTCAAACGTGTAATCCTTTGTTTTAAAAATGTTTTTCTACTAGCCAAACATTATCTAATTCAAACGTGCTATTGTGCATTTCAAATTTTCAAGCTTGCAATTCAAAATAGTCAGTTCTGCAAGTAAAAATGCTATCATTCTATTCTTTGTTTTAAACCACATGACTAAAATTCACTACATCATATAAGGCCGCTATGTTGGGGAATAACTAAGCCTTCAAAATGGCTTCTTCTGAAGGCATGCCCGTTGTGAACCTTCAGTATTTGGATTATTGTGTGGGTCAGGAGGGTCCTGTGAAGTCAAGGTACCACAAAAAATAACTGTTTGTGGCTTCAACCCATATGCATTGAGGAAAAGTGATTTCTTCGAAAACATTGAACTCCTACCGAACATTCAATATCCAGATATTGTCAAGTACTTGGTAGTGAAAACCTCATGGGCTACAACAACCCAAATGAAGGCCTACAAATCGATGGAAGCGTACCATTTCTTTGTTTGGATGGGTGAATACTCTTTGCATGTGATCTGTTGATAGCGATAAAGTTGTTGTGTTCACCAGAGTAAGTAATAGTAGTGCATTTTTTTTTCCTGAGATCTCTGAGAGAAGCAAACAGAACAAAATAAAGGACTCATTTTTTATTAACTTCAGCTAACACTCTTGTTTTACTAGTTGGTCTTGACACAGCAGCTGCAAGTTCAGAAGACATATCACTTATACTACTTACATTAGCAAGTGGTATGGCATATTTCAAGGATCTAAATTCTTGGATTTAGAATTAAGACTTTTTGTCTACCCTCACCAGGTGAATCACTCACAGAGACCATGGGACACCCCACTTAGAACATGTTTCTGGCAGAAAATGTGGAACTGTAATTGCTGACCATTGTGATTGCATGGGAGGGTTATGTGAAGGGTGTTCTCATGTTGGGGCAGTGCTGTGGAGGCTGATGTTAGAATTAGCGATTCTACCACATGCACACAGGAAAAGAACAAATGGCTTCTCCCTAGTCATATGAAAGAAATCCCCTATTTACCTGTTAGTGAGATGGATTTTACCTCTGCTAAAAAGAAGCATGAATTGATGGTGGAGAAACAGGTTACTCCTATGGCCACTAGATCTAACCCTGGGATCCAAATTACCAACACTTGTCCCAACCCCAGAAGAGCAGAAAACTTTTTTTTACAACTACTTCTGGCTGTACAGTAAAAGCAGTCTTGTCCCTTGTCACACCTTTTAGTGAGCAGTATACTTGTAGAGAAATTGACAATGTACCCAAGCCCTTGCCCAATAACTTGTTTAAAGAAGAGTTTATGCTGTTAGACTTCATGGAGTTGCTGCAGCAGTGTCAACAAATATTGCTGTAGATTACACCTGATGAGTGTCAAGCATATAGAAGCTTCAACCAGAAAGCAGTCACAAAGTAAAGTTTGGTGCCAACGATGGTAGGTCTTATTACTACTTTCAATCTAAAAACTGCTCGCAAAACAAATACAGCTAAGCCTGCTAAGAGTCTTGTTAAGTTCATATGCTACCCTGAAGCCCATAAGTTTTCAACTGCGGCAACAAGGTGGGGTTGTAAACATGAGGGTAGGGCTCGTAAAGCTTACCAGACAGAAATCAATCAATTTCACAAGTCTTTGACAATTTCTGACAGTAGTCTCAATATTGATCCAAGGTGGCCATACTTAGGAGCTTCTGCTGATGGGATTGTTGACTGCAGATGCTGTGGGATAGGTGTGAGTGGAATAAAATGTCCATATACGCACAAGGATTCCACAATTGCAGAGGCTGCTGGCCAAAACAACTTTAGTTTAAAGAAAGATGAGTTTGGTAAAGTTCATCTTGACAAAAGTCGTGCCTACTACCACCTAGCTCAATCCCAGATATTTATCTGTGGAGTTGAATATTGTGATTTTGTGGTGTAGACAACAATAGATCTCTTGCGCAGGGAATTCTTCCAGACCAAGAGTTTTGGAAAAAATGCACTCTCTGTTTCCTCTGAGTTGTTCAGCAAGTGCATCTTGCCTGAAATCGTAGGAAAGTGCTATACATGCCCAGAATTTGAAGCTCAAGCCAGTCCATCTTCATCAACATTGTCTGGTGATGAAAAAGAGGATGGGCTGTGGTGCCATTGTCAACAAGATTTGGAGGGCAGCACATTAATTGGCTGTGACAATGATTTGTGCCAGATAAAATGGTATCATATGTCATGTTTGAAGTTCAAAGAAGAGCCTGAAGGAGACTGGATCTGTCCAACTTGTCATAGAAAAAACTAACTGAACAGTCATGATTGAAATGTCAAGTTTATTCAATTGTACCACTACCACTAAAATATGACTTTGGGGTGCTCCATTCTTTGTCAAAATGCAAACTGAACTTTATGGTTGTTTGTCATGCATGTAGTTACATATTTTTTAATGACTAGCGTTTGTGACATAAACTGAACAAATGTTGCTTGCCAATGGTGTACCTTCAAGCTGTGTTTTTTTCAACACAAGAATTACTGAAGTTCTTTAATAACAAATTATGGCTAGCCCCAACTACATCTTTAAGGGCTTTACATGAAAAATAGTGCAACCTGGTTGTAAGTTCACCTCAATCAAATGGTAGAATAGACTCTGATAAATTGGTGAGTGCACAGCACACTATGGCAATTTTGTCAATAGGAGCCGGAGGCTCACCTGGTTTTGTCTTCACCAACTCTGTGGGTAGTATGCTTTGCAGGATTACATACTTTCTGTGAACTAGACCGATTACACACTCTACATGGATTCTTACATTCGCAATTTTTCTTGTTTCTTCCACCTCCTGTGCAGACAATTGCTTTTTACCCTTCGTGAAGGCTGGTATATAAAGTTTAGCCTGATAATATCCAACACTGTCTGCAATATCAAAACCCATATCAGCTAAAACATTGTCCCCTGGTAGCAGCTTTCTTATGCTGTGTTTACATTTGAGCTTCAACCAAGGTAAACATTTACTAAGATCAAGTTACTTAACCTTGGTTAATTTGTCCAGCGTTTATACTGGCTCAAATGACTCAAGTTGATCTGTCAACATTCGCGCCCGGTGCATTATCAGCGCAGCATAAAAAATCGAACCAGCGGGAAATTCTAAAAACATGCTTGCTTCAAGAAGTAAAGTGATGGCTTTCGTGGCCATTGCTTTTTATTTAATTCTTGACCGGCAAACAGAAACATCAAGACTTCATAAGCTGTGGTTGTTACAACATCTCAAGAGGTCGAGGCGAAAACGAATGGTTTTACTTCAAATTGCTTTAAAAAATACAAGACCTGTTAGACGTGCGTGGGTATGGCCACGAAATCAGTTCTGGTTTGAGAGCCTTTTGCAAGGAGATTTCGTTGAAGATTGGTGGAAAGAAAATTTCAGGATATCAAGGCGTACTTTTGAGTACATTGTACGAGTGGTTGGACTGGATTTGGCAAAGAGAGACACGAGATTGCGCCAATCTATCCCTGTAAACAAGTGAGTGGCAGTAGCGTTATGACGCCTAGCTACTGGAGACACGTATAGATTGACTGGGCTGCAATTTGGCATTGGGAGGTGTACAGCTATGCTGATAACGCACGACTTTTGTGAAGCACTTGCCAAACGGGCTACAGAATTTATTAAATTTCCCGAGACTGAGCAAGAGGTGCTACAAAGCATTGGCTTGTTCACAAACAAGTCCCCATTCCCGCATGTGGTAGGAGCAGTTGACGGTAGTGATATTGCATTAAAAACAGTGCCTGTCAACAAACGGATTGAATACTTTAATTGAAAGCAAGATTATTCTATTGTTATCCAAGGTGTCGCTGATGCATCTTTTAGATTTCTTGATGTAAGTACGGGCTATCCCGGTAGCATTCACGACGCCCGTATTCTCATCTGAGCAAACTACAGAGAGAAATTGATCAAGGTACCTGGCTAAACGGGCCTTCAAAGATAATTGGGAGTTCCGAAGTTGGTCCTCTTCTGGTAGGGGACTCGGCGTATCCCTTGTCTATTTGGCTGATGAAGCCTTTTAAGCAAACACCTACATTAACTGAGAGCCAATTGCGTTTCAATCGTGCCCTCAGCCAAGCCCGAGTAGTTATAGAACAAGCTTTCAGAATTTTGAAAGGTCGTTGGAGGTGTCTCTATAAACCACTGGAGGAAAAAACAAGCAGAGTCCCCACCACTATCATGGCTTGTTGTGTCCTTCACAATATTTGTATAGATGTTGGAGACCCGAGTGCTATAGACCCCGTTGAGGATGACGATGAAATGGATCAAAGTTCTTGCAATGGAGATGAGCAGTCTGATGCAAGGGGCATTAGAGAAGATATTATGAACTATTTATCATAGTCAAAACATTAAACCAAAGTTACTATTTTTATTGGAATCTTTCGGGTTAAGTTGAAACCACACATGTGATAAATTTACTGAAATCAATGTTTTGAGATTGAAATTGTGTCCCTTTCCATTTGTTACATGTGTAATTGAACAACAATTATATAATTCACTTGGGTTTAAAAGTTACAAAAGCTTTCTGATGTTAAAGTTTTTTACATAATTTTTTTGCTAAAAATTGTCAAAAACAAATAACTTTTGTATTTTAAAAGATGCCTAGAGGTTTAATTTGAAATGTGTATAATAATTTCATTTCCCAAAATTGATCAACAGATATTGTAATTTCCAAAATCAGTTTTAAATAATTGCAGAAACAATTGCAATAATTTTTGCCTTCTTTATATTCATCGTGTCTGGAATCATTGTCCTGCTACATATATAGTTGTCTTGATCCAACATTTTGTCATGATACATAAAATCACAGTTCATAACTGAAACGAATAAAATGGTCTCATAAAACAAGTAAAGTACTTTAATCTTTCCCATTGGCAACATCCTTTATAATGTTTCCAAGCATCTTCAAAGCATCCATCGAAAACTTTTGTTGTTCTCTTCTGCTTTCCCTCTCGGCTTCTGCCATTCGCTCCATGAACGCCTCATCCCTCTCTTGGGCTCTTTCCAGAAATGACAGCACTGTAGGCTCATCTGCTGCTGCTGCTTTAACCTTCTTTTTGGCTGCTTTCTTTCCGTCTTTTAGACTCTTTGGTGCATTTCTTGGTGCATTCTTTGGAGTACTCTTTGGTGTACTTGTGTACTTTCCTTTTTTGCTTTTGTTCTTTAAAAACAAGGATTTTGCAAAGGCAAGTGGCTGGTCTTCCTCTGAGTCAAAAGTGTATACTTCACCAGATGGGCCTGGTAGATCATCAGGATCATTGGATCCGACAACTTTCCTCTTTAAATTTTGAGCGGAGGCAGCAGCGGCAATCTCTTCATCGAAAATTTCTTTGTCAAGAATGTCCTGATCAATTCCTAGGGTACTCTGTGATTTGATTGGGGGGGAACTACTCTCCAACACGTGTTGAGGATTGATGGCTTCTCGCTTGCCGATAATTTCGTCCATGTGCTGAAAATGCTTAGACACAAGCTCAACTCCGCCTTCTGCTTCCTTGTCAGCCTCCTCATCTCCCCCTTTTTCATAACCAGTGGTAAGGAGTTTGTCTTTGGTTGTCTTGTATTTTTTTGTGAGATTGCTCATTTTAGTTTTACATTGTTGCGCCGTCTTGTCGCTTGAAACGTGTTCTCGCCAGCATCTCTCGTGTAGTTGAGTTGCAATAGATTCCCATTCTGGCAAATTGTATGCTTTATAGCAAAGCTTCTCTTCGTTATCACCGAACAACTCGATGAGAATTTTTCCCTCCGTTTCAGTCCATCTACTGTTTTTTTTCTTTGGCGCAGTGCTTGATAACTCCTCACTGGTGGAACTCGCAGGAGAATCCGTGGATAATAAGTTGAATATGCATCATCCTCCCTGGTGAGAAAATACATCGACAATGATTACACAACGAAGGATCAAAGTTTCTCTTGCGAAAGTTGAAAATAATACCAAGCATAAAACTATAATGCCTTCTTTTCTTTTACTTGACGGATTGTTCGCCGTAAGAACCATCACTTCTTTCATCCATGATTGTAACAGGTATTGTGAAACGCTTCGTTGCTGGACGACGTGACAATCACACGATCAGCTCACCACGGGAAGTGAAATATTACGCAGCCACAAGCGGATATATCTGTCATCTTTACCTCGGTTACCGAGCGTAACCATGCCTTTTCACATGGTAATTAAAATGATTACCTCAGTAAACTTTCTATTGTCTTGGGCGGCATTTACCAAAGTGTCAGCTGCCGTTTACACTCACGAAAATTTTACCCAGGTTAACAAACTTTGCTACTGCAGTAAAAAGCTCAAGTGTAAACACAGCATTAGCACACCACTGTTTTCAGTAACATGTTGGTCACTTACCCTTGCCCCCCATGCCTTAGATATAAAGGATATGACTCCTTGAGGGGTGATTCGAATAAGGAATTTAACTGTATTGTGGTGTTTGTAATTTGACCATGTCATTGCTTGAGCAATCAAGCTTGATGGCCTCTCTTTATACACCTCAAAGCAATCAATTATTACAACTACTTTATTTCCAAAGTTCTGGTTTATTTCCATGTGATTGACACTTGTGGTTAACAAACATTTTGCTGTGTCTCAGTGCGTCTACGCTTGACAAATTGAAACCAAATCTTGGTGGGCTTTAGACTGAAATACTCTGACTAAAAATAGAGGATCAAATTTTCTTGATTGACATTTTCCTTCAAATCATGGCATGTAAATTGACAAATCTGTCAGATTTCACGGCTGACAAAAATTTGTCCTGCTCTGAGAAGTTTGGTAAACCATGACAAAATTTGGTAGATCTAAAAATCACCAGGCGCACTTGTCTCAGGGAACTGGTGACAGATTTTTTCGCAAAATAAACAAAGATTTGCCCAGTGCATCTGGGCCCCCAGTTATGTCAGATTGTTCTAGGGCTTTACCTCCAAAGGAGAGAGAAATGCTGGAGTTAAAATTTCTTTTGTTTGGGTTTAAAAATTACATAATGAGTTTTCTCTATATTAACTGAGAGCCTATTGCATTTTAGCCAAATATCAATATTTTGGAGTTCATCATTAAGTACGGATTCTAAGCAATTTGGGTTTGAGTGAGAATAAAAGATACTGGAGTCATTAGCAAAAAGCAGAGGGTCTGTTAATTCAGAGGCATTAGGAAGGTCATTAATGTATAGAATGAACAATAGAGGGCCTAAAATCGAACCTTGAGGGACACCACACTTGATGGTTTGCATTGGAGAGCAAGCTTGATTGAAATGGATGAATTGCTAGCAGCAAGAAAAGTAGCTTTTAAACCACTGCAGAGCCACGTCACAGATACCATAGTGCTCCAATTTGGCAAACAAGATTTGATGGTCAAGAGTGTCAAATGCTCTGGAAAGATCTAGGAAAACACCCACCGTTGTGTTGTGTGGGTCGATTGCAGAAGCTATTTTATTTACCAAATGAATTAGTGTGTGTGATGTTGAGTGATTTTTCCGAAATCCAAACTGACAGCAGTAAAGTATATCATGTCTTAGCAAATTCTACTAAGCGATTGTAAATAACTTTTTCGAAAAATTTGGAAAAATTAGACAACAAAGAAATAGGTCTGTAGTTTGCAAAAAAGTTAGGATCCTCTGCTTTGAAGATGGAAATAATTTTAGCGATTTTAAGTCCATTTGTCTGTGAAAATGCCTTGTAGCAGAGATAGATTGATAATATCTGCCAATGGAGCAGAAATTAGGTGAAATGAATACTTAATGATATGCATTGGGATACTGTCATAACCAGGAGCCTTCTTTGAAGCGAACATCCCACAAATGCTTTCCAGTTCTCTAGTTGTGGTGGGCTTTAAGTTAATGGAGGGATGGTTATTATCACCAAGATAAGAGCAAAAAGGATTCACACTGGGTACAGATTTTGTTAGGTTGGGATCAATGTTTGTAAAGTATTTACAGAATGTGTCAGTGATCTCCATTAGATCTGTTAATGTTCTGCCTTCAGATATGAATGATGTGTGAAGAGATGACTTACTTTTATGGTTGTTAATAACCTCATTGAACAATTTCCAAGTTGTTTTGAGGTCATTTCTGGCATTTTCAAATTTGGAGTCGTAGTATTTTCGTTTGGCAATGGGAATAAGATGGGTGAGTTTGTTTTTGTAGGCTTTATACTTCGTCTCAGAAGATGTGGAAGGTGATGTGACGAACTTTTTGTAAAGTCGGTTCTTCTTGTTAACAGATTTCAGAAGTCCAGGGCTAAGCTATCGACAAAAGAACTTATTTACCTGTTTACCTTTGAGAACTTTTAAAGGGAAACAGGTGTTATAGATTCTGGAGTATTCTTCAATAAAATCATTATAGGCTTCATTGGGATCTTCCAATTCTTCTTCACAGCCCTCTTCAAAACTTGCAACATTATTGATTAAATTATAATTTAAGGCGCACAAATCACTTCTCGCATGTACGGTACAATAGCAACATTGGCAGAAATAGTGTAAGATATAGAGGACCCATCGTTTGGAATTTAATCCCTTGAGCCATCAAGGACGCTTCCTCCTATCAACTTTTTAAACAAAACTTAGACAAGCCTCCAAGATACTGGACCAACTCCAATTCGAAAAAGAGGCCTGTCTGATAACATCAAAACGATCAGATTTCTTATATTTTTAGTTTTTAAATTTTAATTAATTAATTAATTTATTTTATTTAAGATTTTATATAAATATAGTTTTTAATTTTTTAATTAGGTTGTTGGCAGGTCTACACCAGCCTTTAGGTTGCCGCAAACCGACCTGCCTTAACAAATAGTATATGTATGTATGTATGTATGTATGTATGTGGCGAAATGAGGACCATTTTGCGTTCGAAAGATTCTCGTTGAATTTATGCAAATTATCGTCATTAAATGTGCGCATCGCAATTTTTTCTTTCTGTGCTGCGCGTTAGAGTTGCGTCGTCAAAATATGCAGAAATAGGTCCGCAATGCGAATGTGTGCCTAAGAAAAGAGATAGTGTAATGGCAGGTAGGGAGTGGACATGACTTCTGTGCGTTCCTGGCCACCATAAGTGAATGGGAAAATTCGAAGTTATGTATCAGTGTCAACCTTTGACAGCCTAGAAATCAGTCCAACATGCACTTTATTTATTAAGTCATTTTGAGAGACGCTTGTGCTTCTTTGGTGTTTTCCCTGTCTTCTAAGGCCTTTTCCATCTCCTTACAGTGAGGTATGTTTGGAATGAGCATGTTTGTATTTGTAAACCTATTCTAACAATCATTATGGGGGAAGTGGTAAATTATTCATAAGTTGTCTAAGTCTGCATGCTTTTTTTTGGGATGTTTGGAGTGGTGAACTCAATATAATACTGGTTGAT